CCCCCGTGACCCCTTTCCCCCCCCAGCGCCCGCTGGGCTGTTACCCGGAGCAGCACTTCACAGAGGCCGCCCCGCGCCGCCTGATGCTGCAGTTCCGCCGCCGCCTGCAGCGCATCTCCCGGCGCATCCGGCAGCGCAACGCCGCGCTGCCGCTGCCCTACCCCTACCTCGACCCCAGCAACGTCGAGAACAGCATCTCCACGTGAAGCGACCCCAAATCCCGATCGGGGCGACCCCAAAAACCCCCCAAACCTCTGCACCCTGTTCTGCTGCCCCTTAGGATGTCCTCAAAGCCCCCAGGTGACCCCAAAATCCTCATCTCCTCCTTCTTGGGTGACCCCAAAATCTCCACCCCATATTTCTTAGGGTGACCCCAATCCCATCCCATATTTCTTCTTGGGGTGACCCCAAACCTCCGCACCCTGTTCTTCTCCCCCTTATGATGCCCCAAATCCCCCCAGGTGACCCCAAAATCCCATCCTTCATAGGATGACCCCAAGCTCCTCATCCCATATATATTGAGGTGACCCCAATTCCATCCCATATTTCTTCTTGGGGTGACCCCAAATCTCTCCATCCCATTATGGCCTCCTTAGGATGCCCCAAAACCCCCCAGGTGACCCCAAAATCCTCATCCCACCCATTTTAGGATGACCCCAAACTCCTCATCCCATTTTTCTTCTTGGGACGACCCCAAAGCTCTCCACCCTGTTCTGCTGCCCCTTAGGATGCCCCCAAATCTCCCCAGGTGACCCCAAAATCCCATCCTTCTTAGGATGACCCCAAACCTCTCCATCCCATATTTCTTGGGGTGACCCCAATCCCACCCCATATTTCTTCTTGGGGTGACCCCAAATCCCTCCATCCCATTATGGCCTCTCTTCAGATGTCCCCAAGCCCCCCAGGTGACCCCAAAAGCCCCCATCCCATCCTTCTCCTCTTTGGGGTGACCCCAAATCTCTCCATCCCATTCTGCTCCCCCTTATGGTGCCCCAAAACCCCCCAGGTGACCCCAAAATCCTCATCCCATCCTTCTTAGGATGACCCCAAACTCCTCATCCCATATATATTGAGGTGACCCCAATCCCATCCCATATTTCTTCTTGGGGTGACCCCAAATCTCTCCATCCCATTATGGCCTCCCTTAGGATGTCCCCAAAACCCCTCAGGTGACCCCAAAATCCTCATCTCCTCCTTCTTGGGGTGACCCCAAACCTCTCAACCCCATATTTCTTAGGGTGACCCCAATCCCACCCCATATTTCTTGGGGTGACCCCAAACCCCATTGCTGTCCCCACTGAGCTGTGCAATAAAGGAGGTGCCAACCCCAAATCGGCCATGGGGTCATTGAGGGTTATGGGGTCAGGTTGGTTATGGGGTCATTGAGGTTATGGGGTCATGTGGGTATGGGGTCAGGTTGGTTATGGGGTCATTGAGGTTATGGGGTCATGTGGGTATGGGGTCATGTGGGTATGGGGTCATGTGGGTATGGGG